TATAGAGAAGTACATTACGACGGCTCAATAAGCAAAGAGAAGGCAAAAGACGCTCATGTAACTGGTAAACATCTTTTACGAACAGGCCATAACCATGCGTGCGAAGCGTAAAATTAATATCGTAATTGTAGCCGGAAGACGCTTTCAAAAACTCTTTTGATTCCACTTTTGTTGATTGCGAAAGTATCCCCCTCGCCCGAATTTTTGTGATTTCGGGTGCGGTAGGCATTAACATAAGTAAAAAAAGTAGAAGTCGACAAATTCATGAAAGATGCTGTAAATGCCATCATCATGTTCGCTGAGACCATTCAAAGCCCCATTGCGAGGGAAACGTTATGAATAACTTGTTGAATTGCTTGTATTTTCCTGACAGATGGAAAACTGAGAAAAAAATTCCAAGAACTTGAACTTGATCAATGGGAAATGAATGGTGACTGTTAGATCCAAACATTAATGTACACACCCATTCCCTCTAGAACTCTTTGTTAGGAACAGGTTTATACGCAACGACCTCTCCGTGGGCAACTCAACTTAAGCGGACAATGCCAACGACATGTTAACCTTTTTATTTGCTTAAATTCCAGCAAAATGATCGAGAATGTGAAAATCGACGAAACCACGGCGCGATCAGTAGCACTGAACTCTGCTAAGTAGCCAAGACGTTTGAACGCGCTGTGAAGGAAGTCATAATCTTACCACTACCGTAAACAGAAAGTGTTGGAAGCTGTGTATCAAAAGGCAAGATATGACGAACCTGATGTTGAAATTTGCATGGATCCCTCTCGGAAACTGACACTACCGAACCGTAGACATGTAGCTCACGCACAACAGATGCTTTTCCCTGAATGCATTAAGGAGTCAAAAATGGTGAACTAAACAACAACTAAGAGAAATCAGTGTGGCCATCACAACGACTCAAAAAGAAATTTTCGATGAGAACAGAAGGCGAAGATTTTTCACCTCCTTTGAACATCTTTCAGTGAATTTGAATAATTTTGAACTGTCAACCATGCGTCAAGGGTTTGCTGCTTAAACCAAATACTACACGCAACAAAAACATACCTTCAGTTCAGAGCGATGGGCTTTATTGGAAATCTTTCGGAGGCGCAGGAGTCCTACCAGAATATCCTTCAAAATGATCGCGTTAAAAGGTGAAAACCAAGCAAAAACAAGTCTGAAAATATTACCTGATCTGGATCTTCGTAAGAAAGGAACGTCTCCCATCCGCCATTCGCAACATAATCCCTTCGGATCAATTCTACATCGTATGGTCGAATTTTGTTATGAATTTCCTGAAAACAACTTCACTGGAACTTTCCTATAGAAGCTTACTCAACCAAGTAACTACTAAACAAAGCATGCAATTACCAGACTTCGATCTTTTGATTTGATTGGCTCCCAAAAAAACATTGTATTCATTTTATTTTCACCAAAAACGTTGTTTATGTCTATCTCTTGTTTATGAACACATTCATTTGTAGAAACATATGAGTCATACTTTGAAGAAAAGAAAATAATTTGAGCTCAAGGAAGATAAAAAGGGTCTACGAAACCATAGAGAGAAGAAAATTAGGTTCCGGCCTGGGCCACACAGACACCTACCATCTCTTAAGGCTAATCCACTAAAAGCTGCTCTACAAAACTAGACTTTGCGTCGCTAAGACTGTGAGCGACAAATAAAAAAAACACAAGTGGTGGCCAAATCATTATGACCGATATTTAGATGTGGAAAACATTTCAAACTCATATAATTAGCAAGTTGTAGAAGCGAGCAATAGGACAACTTGTGAAAGAAACATTTTAAGCAAGTTAGGCACCCGTGAAACTTTTAGAGGAAGCGTTGCCCATAATTCTCTCATATAAAGAAAATTAGTTGCTGACCTACCTGAATACCAACTTCTCTCGTTCTTACATCGCGACACGCTAAGCCGAGTTGTTTCATATGTGCCAAGGCATGTTCGCGAAGATTTCCGTGCTCTACACCACTCGAAACCTTAGAGGAAATTGAAATGCCTCGGAAATAGCTTTGTAATGAAGAACTTCCATTGAAAGAAATCCTCACCAGGGGCATAGGTATGTCACGTTGAACGCGGTAAACCCGTGTCCACGGCGGTACTAACGCTAGAATGCGTGCTACGAGATTGACCAGTACAGATGGAGGGTAACTCTGAATTAGCGGTTTACAAACATAGTTCAACTTCGCTTACCGTCCAGCATATGATGATGAGACTACCACGAAACGAAAATATTCCCAAAAATCAAGTCTTCCAAACGAAGTTAAAGATGTTGAAGGGACATGCGATACTAAAATTATTCAGTGACCTCAATCTCACTCACCTTATACCGGCCAGATCGCCACAACTCGTACAGTCCCGTCCCTCGTATCACAAGAGTAGGGTACAATTTCAAACCATCAGGACGGAAATCTGGATTCTGAAACGGAGTCATAGATGAGGCTGATCTAGAATCACAGCCTGGTAATAAACTTTTCACAAAAGCTACCAGCTACCATACATGAATTCTAATAATCCAATGAAGGCAGTTTTGGTAGCAGGAACAAACCTCAAACAGCTCCACAAACTGTTCAATATCACGTTCCAGCCCAACATTCGGTAAATCAGGCATCATATGAATAACCACCTTATATCCGGTATCTTTAGCCATGTGAAATGTTTCACAGACAGCTTTGACCTGAATAACTGTGCGTTCTCTACGTTTGACATGCATTACGAAAGACTGAAGGAGTTCAATTAAGTATAGAACCGATTAAAGAGTGTTGGAATTCGTTAAATTATGGTGGAACGTCTATGCGGAAAGATTTTTGAGAGTCCTCATCGTTAAAACGTTTCAACAAGCTATAAACAATGAATCATTAATGAGTTTGGCCCTGATCAATCCATGGCAATGAGATTTTACTCACTGTGTGTCCTCGATTAGTGTCTCGAGCAACATCTTCGTAAGTAGACTGAACTCCAATCTCAAGTCGAGTGCATCCATAAAGTAGCATATCGTCAAGATGTCGCGGGAGGCAATAGTCCGGCCGAGTTTCAATCGTAATGCCGATGCATTTAATTTTGCTGCGTTCCGAATATGCTACTGCCTTCAACAAACTTTTTTTTCAACGATGTTTTATTACACGCCAGCAACTCAACATTTCTACCAGGACACCAAAAATACTCTGCTCACCTCTTTGACATTACACGAGGTATGACCACTGAGGGCATCATGTAAATTTCTTATGAAATAGTCGCGATAATCCTCTGGCAATGACATAAAAGTTCCTCCCATTACGATGAATTCAACCTGCAAACACAAACATTTCTTGCCAGTTATGTATAAAAGAAGAGAGGAAAGCGGAATAAAGTGGAGAAAATAAACAGCAAACGAAAAGGAGGAGTTTGTCTATGCTACTCGAAGACCTTCACGCGTAAGATGCCAAATAAGTGAAACTACCTGCACCAGGATTAGATGCGCTTAAGCTTGTTTTTGTGAGACAGTAAGTCACCGATGGAAGTCAAAAGTCAATTCTTCCCAGTGAAACCATTTCATTGTTCCTTAACTCTTGGATATGAATTCGTCAAAAACCTCATACCTTATCAATTGAATGGCCTAACTGCATCAGTTGAGAGACTCTCCCTCGCGTTTGTAGGTAGGGATCGTATCTAAAGTTAAAAACACAATATAACAATCTCAAGTAATGTCAAAACTAAACTAAATTCGGTCAACATTACCTAGCCCTTATAGCTCGCATACTTGTCGGTTCGTATCC